ATGATCTTCAAATTTCGAGTGCGCGCTTGATCGGTACTTTACTGTAGTGACATCCTTTTGATTTTGAGTGAATATTTCTGCTTTTAATATGCCAACTGTGATCTTAGTTCTCTTATGGTCACTTCATAAGCTCTTCGTGCCCTCCTCATCTATTTCCATACGTCCTAATTTGTTGTATAGCTTGCAAGACATTAAACAGTAGTCAGTTGTTGAGTGCGAGTTGTTTCTTTGCCACAATATTTTTCCGTCGCATTTTACCTCAGTGTTAACCAGTACCAGATCAAGGGCTTCACAGAACTCCGCAGGAGGGCACAAGTTATCCATCACAATCCCCCCTTTCAGACACACACCATAGCATATTCTGATGCATCCATCTCCAACATAGGAGATACGGGAGCTGGGGCATATGCAATCTACACACCACAATCCCCAACCTCCACAGTTCACACCTGCGGTCCATATAGCAACCCTCCAAATATCATCACACTAGAAATAGTTCCCATTATACATGCTATCCAAACCTTCTCCCAGCTACCTCTTACATCAGCTTATACAATCTATACGGACTCCCAGGTAGCCATACGTGCTCTGCAGCAACGCAAAATCCCATCAGATCTCAGATCGGTCCTCGATGAAGCTCTACATGCACTAAAACCATCCTCTGTCACCGTTCGGTGGGTCCCTGGTCACAGCGGGATCACAGGTAATGAGTTGGTTCATCTACTCGCTCGCAAAATGCAAATCCGAGCGCCTGTGATCCCGTGGCCTAGCCCCCTGACCAGTGACGATGCCTTAATCTACAAACGCTCAATCAATTTCTATTACAAGCAGCTCCGTAACTCTCAACAATGACTACCTCGACCCCACCTGAATTTCAATGTGGCACAAACTCGCGCCCTCCGAAAAATCCAAACGAACACCGTTCTTACTCCCGCTAGGTTTTTTATTCTTCGACGTCGTTCTGATCCTTCATGCCCTAACTGCCCCTCCCCATACGCCAACCTGGAACATTGTCTCGTACAGTGCCCTATTGCACTATCCACACCGTTCCTCCCTAACCCCCCTCCCCTTTCCTGGAGTGCTTGGCTGGCATCAGACGGACCGGATGACCAAATGGCCTTGGTGTTACAAACCATGGATGTTTTGAACACTTAATTTGTGCTCAATATTAAAGTGCATTCTCTCTCTCTCTCACAGAACTCAACTAACATCCTCCCTGTTGTACTATTTATATACTCATCAAAGACTTCCAAGTGAGCATTCATGCCCACTAAAATAATTATTTCTCTTTTGGTGCAAATTTCTCTAATGTAAGCTTACATACACGTTAGGTGTTGTGTATTTTTGTCCCATGCATCGTTCCCTGTTTTCAGATAACACAAAACCAAATAGTCTGTCCACTCTCCCAATATTTCTTTGAACCAACATGTGTTCCCTGCAGCTTTCCTGTACCCTTTCCCAGTCCTGTCCTCTTACCAACACCCCCATTGCCCCTCCCTTCTGTTCCCCTTTACTCCAATTGCATCCCATCCAAGAATAGCCTGATACGTGTGGTGGTTCCTCCATATCTCTTAAATGTGTTTCTGTTAGTCCATATACCGCAATGTTTTCACCTTCTAATTTCCCCCCAAATTTCCTCCCACTTCATTCTATTTCTATCCCCCTGCATGTTATGAACCCTACATTACGATACTTCTTTTTCCTATTCCTACGAAGCTTCCTCCCATCCTCCCTGACCCTCCCCCTTAAATCTACCTCAGGGCCCTCACCTATTCCAGGACCCTGCTGGCTTCCAAAAAAGCCCTTGCTTTCCCTACCATTTGCAACCCAATGAACCACCCCGTGCGTGTCCCGTGGGGCTGCCTACTCAGGTCAAAGGAATTAGCTGTCCCCCTCTGGTACACCTCCCTGTTCACCTGCATAAAATCATACCCTAACTTCTCTGTCAACTGCTTAATTACCTTGTTTGCCTCCACTACCACCTGCTCTGTTCCCCACACGTGCCTCTGGACTTCCGGGATTGTGCACATCACAATGTGCACCTTCTCGGCTGCTTCTCCAAGTTTACGGACCCCCGCCTCTAGCGTTCCCCAAGTTATGCCCCCTCCCCCTGAGTATGTCGTTCAGCCCTGCATGAACGACAACCAGGTTTTTCCCCTGATGGTTGTCCCACACCATGTTCTTGGCGCTCTCCATGACCTTGCTCATGCACTTTCCTGGGTGGACCCTCACCTTAACTCTTTCTTCCCCTCCCACCTTGCTCTTGATCCCTGCTATGCACTTGCTAATGTTGGAACTACCCACTATAATTATGCCTTTTTCTCCTCTATTACCGCACCCCTGGTCTCCACTTCCCTGTTCTTTCCCGTCGGGTTTGCCTCATTCTCCTCTCTCGCACTCTTGGCCTCCACTTCCCTGTTGTTCTCCACCAAGGTTGCCTCCTTCTCCTCCCCTACCAGGCTGTAATGGAGCGAAGTCTTGCCCCTCTTCATTTGGGCAACTTTTTCCCGTAGCGCCTCACAGTCTGACCCTTCCCTTTCTGCCCCCTCGTCTGCCTCCTTCAGCTTGGCTTCCCACTCCCCCTGTAGAGCTTCCAGCCTTTCCCCTTCCTTCGTCACCTTCTCCCTCATTTGCTCTACCTGCGTTTCCAATTTCTGCTTCACTTCCTCGTGCCTTTCCTCGTCATCCTGCATCTTCTCCCTCATCTCTTCCAATCTTCGCATCCATGTAATCTTCGCAATCTTCATGCGAAGATTGCATGAAGATTACATGCAATCTTCGCATGTCTCTTCCATCGCCTCTCGTTTCTCCCTCTCCTCTCTTATCAGGACACATACCCGGCACTGAAACTACCCCAGCTCTGCCTCTGGCAGCGTGTCGAAGTCTATTTCATCTAAGTAGCCCGAGCAACCACATCCGTCACGTCTTATAAGCGGCTCATCCTTGCTCTGCTTGCCCGTCACCCTCCTTGCTTTCCCCGCAGCCTTCCCGACCTTTGTCGCTCTACCCGTGTTCGTACTACAGTGAAACCCGTTTCAAACGAACCCACGTACAGCGAATTGTCAATATCGAACTCACAGAAAATTTAAATAAAAATGCATGTAAAACATACTTTTTATAGCGAACAACATATTGGTTATATTGAACTTTTTTCCCCCCGGGAAGGCTTCCAAAAACGCGCAAACAATCGTCTTCTAGCCTCTCCCTTCCCCCAAAAAAGGAGTAGGAAAGAAAGAAAATTCCAAAAGCTCTAGATGCAAACACAAGTGAGCGAAGAGAAGTGATTCAGAAGGGGAGAAAGCTGGAAAAAATACACACTGCACGCATGCGCAGAAAAAAAAAACTTCTCATCCCAAAGCGTTTGCCCACGAAGAGAAGGGATTCGGAAAAGGAGATCAGCTAAAAGAAAAAAAAAAAAACTGCATGTATGCAAAAAAAAAGAAAAAAGCTTTCCAGCGTGTTGTTACAAGGCGGAAGTGAAGAGATGATAAAGAAAGAGAAGGCTCTCGCCTTACAGCGAACGCATTGTGGAAGTTCAATGTAAATTGTTATTGCTATATCAAACTACTTGCTATATCGAACTGATCATAGCGTTTCTTGCTGTTCGTTATGAACGGGTTTGACTGTAACGCCACTTATGCTACCCATTTGTTTCGCCATTTACGATGGTACAGCACTTGGTCCACGTGTAACCTAATCTACCCTGCTTCCACTCTCATATAGCAAGAAAACTAACCCGCTTCCGCCTCCACTACATCATTAGTTAAGGCGAAAGCGGGGTGTGCCCGCTTCTGCTCACACACATGCCCGCACCATTATGACGCGGCCAGGTGTGAGAGCACTCCATCCATAGCCCTAACAGGTGATGAGGTTGATTTTATTAGGAAGTCGGGCAAGATACGTGTAGATGTGTCAGCATGATGGGGGAGGGGTGTGATTGTTTTTGTGTCTATACTGTTCATTTTATGTTTACTTGCTGTAAAGTGTACAAGTAAATTTTTCGGTTGCAAGTCAGTGCTGTGTCTGTGTTCTTCCACTGGTTCTCTGTCTTTTTTGCTCCGTTTTAATACCATTTCAACATGATCAACCAACTAGCCCAACTACACACCTTGTGACAGTATTCCACACTGTCTCCCGCTCACTTTCTGAGAGCTGGTCTTGGGCCAGTGCAAATTGTTTCTTCCTTTAATTTTGAAAAAAAAAAAAAAGGGAATGGGAGGGGGGGGGGGGGGTGAGAGAAAAAGAATGGTTTCCCCTCATCCCCCACGGCTTTGGGGATGCTGAGAAAACTTGTGAACACAAACCGAAAAGAACACGAAGAGGACACGGGCAAGTGCAACTTTCAACCAGTTTAGTCGTGGCCACACGCAAGCGAAAAGATCTGAAGGAGCTTGCGCAGCTGCTGCGAGAAGAAGAAAATGGGATAACTACGAAAATTTTGCGGTAGTATTTCTACTCATACCTTAATCCCAAGAAGCCGCACCTCACACATGCACGCCCCACAAAACTGGTTGAAAGTAGCATTTCTCCTCGTCCCCTTATCGCTTTGCACGTACACGAGTTTCCTCAGCCTTGTGCTCTCACCAGCCCAGCGAGGAGCCTGCTTGAGCTTTGATGACCCTGCAGCAGGGGAGTAAAAACGGGAGCAGAACGCAACAAATTCCGAGCGCAGACATTGCTGGTCCCGCAAGGAAGATAGCCATGAAAAGTGGAGAAACAAAGCAGACTAGGCGAGCCTCTCTCGCCGCGGTGAGTCAGAGTTGTTTGAGCTCATGTCCCCTGTATTAATTTTTGTAGAATGTGCAATGGGCGGCGTTTTCCTGCGAGGTGAGACTAGGCTTAGATTTTACGGGCGATGTTTTGCTGCTCCTTCACATATATTAGGGCGTTGCCAGTGATCCGTTGGGCCACCTACTGGGACCACCTATGCCCCTCTGTTCTGACGCGGCCGGAAGGGGACCTTTCCCTGTAGATTATTATATTGGCTATCTGCCCCGCAGGGCACAGAGCCCCTGCTCGTGGAGCAGGCGCACATCAAGGACGCCCTCTCTCGGTTGCTGGTGGAGATGGTCAAGCGGGAGTGGCCCCAGCAGTGGCCTTCCCTCATGGACGAGCTGCACGCCCTCTGCACCATGGGCGTGAGTGCCCTCTCTCGCGCTACTCCATGGCCTGCCAACGTGAGAGGCCTACCGTAGAGTTACACAAGTCGGCTCCGAGCAGTTGCCAGGGTTTGTGTGGTTTCCGTGCGGTGGGGCCAGCTAGGCGTTCGGCAAGCGTGTCGTGCAGTGAAACCTATTGTCCCCTCTATCGGCCGCTTTCTTATGGCACAAGCGCCGCCTGGCTGTGCTCGCTTTGGTTTTGGTAGTTTCAGTATTTTGTCTTACCGAAACTTCTTTGAATCGAAGTGGTCGCCCCCGAAAGACAGCGAAAGACAGCGAAAGGCAGCAGATTGTTGTTGTTAAAAGATACTAGGAGCTTTTAAGGGCTAGTTTCCCCAAGATCATATCCCCCACAAAGAAATGTTGACACAAAACTCTGGTTGCCGGTGTCGCTCATAGATGGTAGTAGCTCTCCAGAGTGTTGAGTTTGCCGGTTGTCCGCTTGCTGCCGTCGCTCATAGATGGCGCAACCTTTCGTCCCCTTTCCACTCTGGCTTGCCAACTTGCGGCCGGCCATTACTTCATTCCCACCATAGTACAGCTTTGCTTGTCTTCCTTTTTCACCAGAATGGAAAGGCTAAAAGTTTTTTCTGTCTAAAACCTTGCATAGGCGGCTCTTTGTCATTGCAGCACCCAATAAGACAGCTCCGTTCTCAAATCGGAGGATATGTGATGGTTCAAGACGGAACAGTAATGTTTTCTTGCAACTTTTGAGCAAGGGGGGAGTAGGGGAGTAAAAGTTGGAATTGTTGACGCTACAATTTTAGGGAGAGAAAGAGTTTTATACTTTGTCTAGGTGTTATTTTGAAAACAAACAATTATCGACGAGCGTTTATTCTACTTTTTGAATTGCTCCAAATAAGCACATCCCTAGTGTAGCTACCGAAAGCGTACGACGACACAATGGTGGCATGGTACGGTTCCTAGCATGAGCATTTTCTGCATACATTGTGCAAGGCAACCAATGACTAGCGAGCATTTCGTCGGTCCTAGATTCTAATCAATGCCGGTCCCCCCGAGCACTGCGCTGCGCAAAATGTTTTGCCACCGCAGTTGGCACTAACTTCTTTTATGCTATAGTCCGTTGCAACTCAAGAAGGTAGGGCGAGGGTAAGACGGGCCGTGGGGGAGGAAGCAGACGGGAACGCTAAAGGGAGGAGGAGGTTTCGCCTTTTCTTCTCCAGCGTTCCTCCTGCTTCCTCCTCCCTGGCCCGTCTTACCCTCGCTCTACCTTCTTGAGTTGCAACGGACTATAGACACAAAAATTAAAATTCCCTCCACGCAGTGCCGAAACCAGACGTGGTCTGGTTTTGGCAAACCTAGTAGGTTTGCCAGTGATCCGAGAAGGGAATACTTGTCGCGAGATTTGATTGACCTTCAACACTGGTGAAGGTCGATTAATAGTAATTTCCAGGCCGTCGAAGAGACGAGCACTCGCAGAAGTGTATTCCTACAAACAAAAAAGTTTGGTATAGCGCCGCAATCGCTGGGGACACGATCAAATTTGAGCTGCTCCGATCTGTCTAATGGTGCGAGGACACCTAGGGCCCAGCTCGGGTAAATTTTCGAGTGCCCAGGTACGAAACCTGCGCTCCAGATTGAGGAACATGGCTCAAACGTGCCCCTGTTCGTACTTCTCGTGTTCCGTCTTCGACTGAGCCGTCCGCTTGCTTCCGCATTTTACCGACGCCAAAGACGACACTAACGAAGAATCGGTCACATACGCGCGAATCAGAAAAATGGCAGAAGACGTCGCCGGCATTGCAGTCTTCGCCGCTTGGTAGCGTGTCCGGATACGAGAGTCTCTGGCGGCCCCCAGCAGCGGAAGTGGCATGCCAAGCGAGGGGTGTGTGGCGCAGGAGACGCAGCTGGAGTTGGTGCTGCTGGCACTGCTGCGTCTGGCGGAGGACGTGGTGGAGTTGCAGAGCGTGGGGGGCCAGCGCAGGCGGGACCTGCACCAGGCTCTGACGGCCAGCCTGCCCACCCTGTGCCCCTTCTTCCTCTCCACCCTGGACGCACACTACACCCGCTACAGGGACCTGGTGAGAGGGCTCTCCCGTGCCGTGTCCTCGAGAGTCTATTTGCACTTGATGAAGTCGTTCAACTGTCTTAGAAAGGAGAACCATTGCGTGCCGCGGTATTCTAAATGTGGCGAACACCTGTTCTGCTGCGGCTCGCTCTCTGGCTTGACGGCCCTCCTTCGGCAGTGCTCGCGTTTGCTCGTGCTTTTAAGGTGAAAGCCTTATATGTCCCATTACGTGAAAAGGCGGCGTCAGCATTGTGCCTGAAAGTTGGCCATAAAAATACATCGCTCAAGGTCAAAGCAGACGTGCCTCAGAAATAAAACCCAAAAGAGAAGCACAGCAACACAGATGCTTCGTCACGTAAGCCGTGATGCCGGCGGGGGCGGCGCACTTGCGCAGTGAGGGAGCGTGATGTCACTGCCGAAGCACTGTGTGCAAAAGGAAAACGTGGCACACTGTATGTAGGAATGCTTTTGCATTCCTACACGTAAGCAGTTCTAAAAGACACATGCAAAGGAAAAAAATATTTTTTTTAAACAGCTTAGATGGAAAAAGGATATTATAAAACGATTTTGCAACGAAGAAAAAAAAATTTTAGAGCTATATTCACGGCGCTATATGAATTTGTAGTTTGCGCAGGCGGGCGCCGCGGAAAAGTGGCCCTTATTCATCACGTGACGGGCCCATATTTGTCACGTGGTGCTTGCGTTCTTTCGGAAGCTTCCTGTGGCCTCTAAAAGTAACTTATTCATCTTTGTTTGAAGTATAACAAAAAACTAAGATGAATAAGTAACTTTTAGAGCCCAAAGGAAACTCCTGAAAAAGCGCAAGCAGACGCGATAGACCTGTGCGCTGGTCAGATGACGGCGGCGGCGCCCGACGCAGACGAACTTGTGCGGCGGCGGCGACGGCGGCGTGGAGAAACGCATTGAAGCGGCATTGTACAATGCTCAGCGTGCGGCGGCGGCGGGGCTTTGCGGCGGCGGCGATGCAGGGCGGCGGCGCACAGGCCTACCATGTGACCGGCGGCGGCTCCCGCGCGCGCCAACTACAAATTTGTATAGTGCCGTAAATATAGCTCTAAAAATTTTTTTTCTTCGTTGTAAAATCGTTTTATGATATCCTCTTCCCATCTAAGTTGTTTTAAAAAAATGTTTCTTTGCTTTGCATGTGTCCTTTAGGCGTCTTCAACATGTTTTTTCCGTGCGTGTTTAGTGTAGCCGTTGAAGCAAATGCACAAAAACGACACGACACACTTTTGACGCAGCTCGGTTTTTACCGGAACTTCTACGACCGATTGTCGTGATCGCAATGTCTGGGGCAGTGATGCAAGTGCTGCGTGTTTGCGCCAAATTACCATTTTTGCTAAAAATTGCATCACACCTGCACCAAGATGGGCATAAAGGGCAACTCGTCGAAAACAAAACCAAAATGTATGACTGGTATTGGTTTAGTGGATCGATCGCAGCCGAATGATTAGACCAAAGTGAAGCTGCATACTTCAATAAAACTGATTTTAAAGATGTGACCAGATGCTCTTTAGTGGGTGGCAAGGCGGTTAGTTGGGGGATGCGTACTGCAGCACCCCTGTGACATCACGTCGCAATGGAGCTGTGGTTGGTTCTGCCTGTTGTACCGCAGCACCACGGTGACGTCACATCGCGACCGTAGGGCTGAGGATCAGTGTTGCCATTCCTTGTCTAGCAGATAGTTTCGGTTTTGTTGTAAATGCCCGAAACCAAACTTTGAGCCGTGATATTTATAAAACTATGCGCAATATAGAACAAAGAATTATATCTTGTAATTCAGGGACACTGTACTTTACGCAGTGCACTAATCACATAAACTTGGGGGGCTTGACCAGATTTCAGCTGACAAGGATGTATTTGTGCTTAGTTACAGCCCAATTTGTCCAAAACTAAAAACAATGCAGTGTGCTTTGATGGGCTAGTTGGTTCATGACTAAATGGAACAGCGCGGAACATAGGACAGAAAGAACAGAAAGAAAGAAAGTCAGCGCTCGTGTTGTCCTGTTCTTTCTGTCCTATGTTCCGCGCTGTTCCATTTAATTAAAAACAATGACTGGCACTGTTGGAAACAGAAAAAAAAAATCATTTTCGAATACAAAGAAAAAGTACTGTTTTCCTTGCTTGTATGCGATGTTGAGTAAGTGGTGAACAAAGTAAGGTGTGTAGCAATATTTTTTCGCCTAAATTTCAGCGTAAAAACACACTTAAAATGGGTTTCATTTCTCTCTTATATGACTTTCACAAAAGTTAACCTTATCATGATGAACAAATAGGTGACCGGCGTTTGAGCCGGAAGTTTCGTCATCCGAAGCGAGGCACCACGTGACTTCACGCTTCCGGTTCGTCCGGTGCCGGTCGCGGTTCGTCCAGCTGCATCAAGAGCCCTTCTAGGCGGGGTGGTTACAGCTCCGCGGTACGTTGTTCTAACGCAAGCCATAGAGGGCATAAGATGTTCCAGTTCCCGTGTAACAAAGCATGGAAGCAACAATGGGCCGTCGCTGTTAAGCGAGTGAAAGAGCGAGATGACCTGTGACAGAAAAACGTCGGTGACCGTTTATGCGCGGCCAATATTGTTACAGGCCAGTACAACGTGTTCTCTCTTTCTTCGGGTAGGGCCAGCGGGAAATAACGATCTCTAATGGCGAATTCGGGTGGTCAATCGTCGGCAACTTATTTTGCCGGAAAACCGGCAATATTGTTCGCGTGGTCAGTTTCCGGCCGGCGCGCACCGTTCGGGTGGTGGTTCTCCGGCAAGCACCGGCAACTTTCCGCCGCTTTTTCCGCCCGAGCTCCGAACGGCCGGGCGAGTAGGTGCCAGACTGTATCCGGTGTCGTCACTTCCGAAATGAGAGAGGTCAGTGAGAAAAAAATGAACGAAAGAACGAAACTGATCTGAAGTAACTTTAGCAGCCGCTACGAAAGTCAATCCAAGTCGTTGGGACATAAGTGATGGCGGTGACAGCGGTGACAGGCTCTCGCTAGCGGTGTCGCGCGGGCAAGAGGCGAAGTAAACTGCCACCGTCTGGAGTTTCGTGTTCGGGTGGTGAGGGTCACGTGGTGTGCCGCCGGCGCGTTTCTGGTTGCCGGTTCCGCCGGCTCGTTCTCGCCGGCGACTGACCACCCGAATTCGCCATAACAGTCTCTTGGCACCCACCAAAAGCGTCTCGATTATTTCACGAAGGGGTGAGCACTGCTTGTCGTACAAGGCATCTGCGAGAACGCCGGATGCGATCTCGCAGGCAATCAGTTCATGGCACGACGTTTCGTCAACATACAGTGCCATTGCCAGGCCGTTTAATCGTTACATCGACAGCTCGGATTGACATTTTTTGTGATGAGCCGCCGCAGACTGTTCCCGGGAAGCGGCGTGGATGGGTGGCTTGCTATAATATAAATAAACAAAAGGACAGGTCAGCTTTTTGTAATATAAAGAAACAAAAGCAAATGGGCAGCACCTTCATATTGACGGATAATAAAGCAGTAATACGACCCTGCGTAGCTCATATCAAAATCGGTGCTCGTTTGTGTATGCTTTCTTACTCGACATCATTAAAAAAAAAACGTGCAGGAAGGGGGAAGGGAGGGGGGGGGGGGGGGGCGGAGGGTTATTGTAGTTCACGGGGGACAACTTAGTTGAAGTACCAAAAACGCGTGAGTGTTAAAAAGCAAGGATTGTCACGTAGTCAGATGTCGTCGAAACTAACTTTCGCACGGAAGTGGCGTTTTAGTCGCGCGAGAAAACATAATATCTGAGTTTGAAACGCCGTCTGACCGACTTCTTTAACCGTCTTAAACTTTTGATTGCCTGAAGATTTTCTTACCCAGGCTTAGGTGTTCTAACAAAATGAGAAAAGTATGCCAGACCTCTGACCGGGCATTTCAGCTGGCCGTGTCTTACGGCTTACATTCGCGCCTATTTCAGTCGGTGATGTGATCTGACGTAACCATAAAAAATAAACAGAACCCAAATAAAAAACGCTGGCTCAAAAGGAAAACAAAACATCCAACCTGAGTTTTCATGCGAAGATCCGGAAAGCGCGGTGCGAGTGCAGCTTGCCGCCGGCCGCACTCGCTCTGCGCTTTCGTGGTCGTTCTCGATGCTTCTGCGTACCGATTAGTACTTAACATATCCGTAGAAGTAACTTGAGACGTTCAGAAGTGTGTAAGTCACCCAGCAGCAGAGGAAGGTGGCCCGGATTGATCGGGTTTCAACACCCGCACACGCTTCCGTAGCCGTCATGGGGCTGCGTCGGCTGCTAGCTACGAACCGGAAGTGAATATTACCCAGAGTTCTTTGAGGCTGCTGCCAAACGCCGGTCACCTATTAAAATCAATGACTACCAAGTACCTTGGTGAATTCTCCAGGAAATTTCACTCCAGAAAAATGCCAAGAAATGGTAGAAGTTAAAAAATAAAAATATGCTAAAAAATGCAAGATTGAGAAAAACACATTTTAAAGTTCTAACGATGTTCCTCTCAAAATGGGGCTCGCCATACTACCTAAAATGCTTTAGGTGGTCGTCTCACTGTCTTTGGTTACTTGTCTCGAGTTTCCTTCACACTACGTGTGCAGACTGATGCTGCAGTTGTGCAAACGTTGTCGAATGTCAGAGACACCAAATTGTGCTGAAGACTGCCTTGCATATGCCCACCCCAACAGTGGGCTTCCTGCCCGTCGTTGCATAGAGGATCACCTGACTGCCTGAACCATGTGGCAGCCACATTTTTGACGAATTTAAAGTTTAGGTTTCGGTTTCTGTCAAAAGAAAGATTTCACAAAATATATCCTATTTTTCATGAAGTAAATGACATATTGCCTTCTATTAGTGCTTTTTAATGTGAAATCACTCATAATTCCGAAATATTTGGAATTGAGCAGAGTTGGTCTTTGAAAGGTGCAGTGTAGTTTTCAAGGTGCTTCTTTTCTTTCATTCAGAAGGAGAGAGCAAGCACTGAGGAAGAGAAGACTGAGGTAAGTATGGATTTCTTCATTAGTCACGGAGGAAGGCCAAGTAGTAGCTTAGAAGGCACATGCTGACAGTGTTGTTCGCACAAGATGGTGTCCCACAGAAGTGAGGGCATGGACGCATCTGCTCAGTGAAAAGATGACCGCATCTTCACGTGGTGAATGATGTTGATTGGGGCGAAGCTCTGGCGGTGCTGATAATACTGATTTTATTGTTCATAGGTAGTGCTGATGGTGCCGATTTTTTTCACCATCTGATGGTGCATTTTTCACAGAAAGAGAATGTGTGGTATGGAACGTGGTTATATATGCATTTGAGCATTTGACTGCAGCACCCTCTCGTGTATAGACGTTGAGCGGCTACATGCAACGTTTCATCCATGACATCCCCAGCTCTTGAGTTACTACCACATCTCAGAGCCCCCTACTCGTACCGCAGTCGTGGCCGAGTGGTTAAGGCGATGGACTAGAAATCCATTGGGGTCTCCCCGCACAGGTTCGAATCCTGTTGACTGCGCTAACATTTTTTGTTTTTTAAAAAAGACAGATGGGATGTCAATCGATGGGAGCATGGACGCCGGACAAGGCTAGACCCTAAGGAGCTTCGCCCCTAAAAAATCTATTATCCCTTTCTAGGAGAGACATTTTAAGCTTACCACTCTGATATTCCATGCAAAAAACATTGCTACCGTTAGATGCAAAAGTGTGCAGGCAAGCTGGTAAGGAGTCATAATCTCAACTTTGAGACACGGAGGAAACGAGGAACCGGAGAAGTGAAGTGCAACAGCAGCCTACACGTGTGCACGACAGTAAAAGGTTAAAAAATGAACGGCAAAAGCCTAAATGGCGGGCCAAGCATTGGGCGTGACGGTTGGCAGTTTTCTGGACGTGGTAACTGCAAAGGCAAATATGAGAAAAAATGGGAATTGAGATACCCACCACCGTCGGAGTTCAACAGCACCGGCGTTTCTGGGCGTAAGAGTCGAGAAAATGCTTCGATGGAGAACATATCAACGAGGTTCTTCTATGTTTCTTGGCAACTTGCCGCATGTGTATCAAACTGGCACTGGAAATCGAACGAAAAGAAGAGGGGACGTTGCATTTAACCCTGGTGCAGGTGGACGAGATAAGCACATTGAGCGTGCGTCTCTTTTCTTTCCAGCCTTTCATATTAGAACTTGGCCTGCACATCCTCGGTTTCGCTAGAGCCACTAAACAAGCTGGGACTATTGGCACTCAATTTCCCGTATTTTCTTGCGTGCCGGTGCTTAGTGTAGGGCGGGTGCAATTTGGCCATGGTTACGGTATGAAGACTTCCCTAGATGTGGCGTCGGGAAACATGGCGGTGGCGCTTGAATTTATTGCGGACTGTTTTCGCATTTTTGGGGGATTTGGGACGGAGCTTTCGATTACCGGCGAGGATAATTGGAAGTTATGGCCCTAGAGCGGTCACTACGGAGCGCAGCCGACGTGGCTGCTCTCCGGAACCTCGGAGGGTCGCCCGGCGGGGTCTGAGCAAGCTCGCGTTGGTGCGCAGCTAGCGCTGCACCGGCGGCTGACGGAGAGGACGCTGCAGACGCTCTCTGGCTTTGTGGACTGGATGCCCCTGGGCCAGGCGATGGCCGGGGAGCGCCTGCTGCCCCGCATCTTCTGCTTCCTCCTGGGGGACGAGGCGCTGCGCCTGTGCGCCGCCGAGTGCCTGCTCCAGCTGCTCGCCAGGAAGGTAGGTGACCGGCGTCCAAAGTAGTGGCAGGAAATGCCAGAGCCCATCACGTCGTCAGACGATTTCAGCAGTCGGTGCTACGAGTATCGATAAAAAGTATAACGCGAGTGTCGTCGTCGTGATGGCTTCCCGACTACCGAATGGCCAAAGTTTCCGTGGACCGTCGAAGAACCCTTCCGGGCTGCGCACTGGATTGGGGCCAACTGTGTCGTGACTGCCCGGGTCTCTTTACGACTCGGGTAACGTTTGGTTCACTTCTTAATTTTTGACACGTCGTTTCCCGTGGACTCGAAACAATTGTGGTGCTGTCATAAGCTACCACTTCTCCTAGATAGAGCTTACATTTTATCCCGGAAAACCTTCGATTTAGTCTGGGACTGGAAGTGCTCCGGCGCTCTTTGTGAGCCGACACCACCTCGTTTCGGCTCTACTCGACGCATTGCGGGGGAACGCGGAGAGTCGTCGCGCGGTCGGTCGCGCTCGATGAACCTGATTCTTTATTAGCGCCGTCTCTCGTCGACCTCGCCAACTATGAGCTTCCATGTCGTCTTTGAGGCTTCTTTGCCGTCCCTGCTTTGCCTGCATAGCGTTCTCCATGCTAGTTCTTACAATGTTGTTGTTCTGGGATGTGCTGCGGGTGTTAGGTACTTGGAAATTAATTAACTTAACAAGCCCACTTCAGAAAGTTGCGTTGGTTTCGTTCAGAATTACCGAAACGACACCGAGAATCCAGTCACCGGGGAAACTGTTTGCCACACGCGGTGTGACGAGTGATGCAAGAGGTAAGACTCTTAAAAGAATTGTGTGCCGCGGTTGTCTTGTTGTTTTTATTGTTACCCTCGTTTTGGTTGCTGCGGGCGCAACCGGCACGAACGTGCGAAGCAGCCTTAATTGACCATTATTACGGTAATTAATTGGAGGCCGAGGTAGATGCGGGAGTTCGCCGTTCGGATGGTCCCGGTAAAACGCTACAATAATTTTAAGATTCGCCGTAAAAATTCGTATTTAAAATAAAAATAAATGCGATTCAAATACAATCGAACCTCATTATATTGAACAATGCAATGACTTTGAAATGATTCAATATAATCAAAATTCAATATACAAAATCGCACCAAAAAAGCGTCGAAGTACAGCGCGATTTAATCTCCAAAAGGCTAGCGGCAAAAATGACTACTCATGTGAAGCGTTAAGGTGAACTATTTATTCCGGCGAAAAAAACTGCCGCAGCGTAGATTGTTTTATAGAGTTGACCGCATGCCTTATTGCGGCCCGCTCCACTGTCTCCAAGCAGTCCAGCAGCGCCAGACCACTACAGTCCATTGCACTGCAGTAGCGCTGTAAAAGCAAGACTGTCTTCCCGACAATGTCGTGACAGGCTTTGAAACGTTGTAGCCACCCGCTACTTGCAGCGACGTTTTGTGCTTGTTGGATGAACGCGAAGTCCTTTGCTTTCTGTTAAAGCATCGGCCATGATGCCGGAATGTTCCCAGCCCTTGCGTCCATAAACCACTTGTGAAGTGATCTTTCTCCTTTATCGAAGTCCGGTGTTCGAACACGGCGTGCATTGGAGTGCTTGCTTCGCTCAGCCTTCAATTTGATGTCGCTTTTCATCTTCAGCAGCGTGCTCAAAGTGCGTCGCGGTATGTTGCACGCTTCGGCAATGTTTGACTTCTTTTCTCCTTTTTCAATGCGGCGGATGATTTCAAGCCTCGTCGCAAATGTCAGCGACGTATGTTTCTTCACGTTTGTTGCCATCAGTACTGCGGGAGCTACGCACAGGGCACGAAAAGAGCGATACTGGCGATGCTGGCGATCTTTTCGTGCCTTACACAGTTTTTCATACTGGCGATGCTGGCGATACGCTTGAGCTGACTGAGCCCGTATGCCGCCGAATCTGGATGGCTCTCCCAGCGCCATTGCCTGAATAAAAGTCGCAAACGCCTGCTGCGCCACCGCTATCCTACAATGTGTTGCGGGAAAGCCTGCCGTATCCTCTGATGTGCTGCGGGTAAGCCTGCCGCCTGTCTCCGGGGCACAGCTTTCCGGCGCTGGGGAGTTCGATATATTAATTTTTTAACCGGCCGAGTTTGCTATAAAAAATTTAAAATGCATGTAATTCTTATGACAGTTCGACAACGATTTGATATAAGCAATAATTCTATATATCCGTGTTCGATATAATGAGGTTTGACCGTATTTACTTGAGTTGGTTTCTTATTTATCCGTCGATTGTGCAGCGAGACACTTTAATAGGGTGGTATCACTTTCCCACAGCAGTGCTCTGCCCGTCACCTCAAACATGGGTCGCCATGTTTGAGGTGGTGCAACAATCAACAGATGGCGTGCAAATCTGAATAAGATCTTTTGCAAACGTGTTAACTGGTATTTAGGGTCCCACCGGCTTCTCTCCCGTGCGCAGTCGTCGGACGGAACGTTCCTAGAGTGGCAGAACTCAGAAGCTTTGTTTGAGAGCCGCGTGCATCGCTGCGTCAGAATGGGCGGCTACACTACGGTGGTGTCGCATCTGCGCTCGTGATGGTTTTGAGAACTGTTTAATAAGGTTATAAAAGAGGTGACAAGGAACGGGTCATGCTTGGGCCTCGGAGGCAGGTTGGAAGTGCCCTCGATAGTGATGCGGCTTTCGCTACATCTTCCTTCTTTTGTTTGTTTTAGAGGTTCATTCCAACTGGTGCCTTCACTAGCCTTCCAGCTCTTGTTACGGTTGTTGTACCGTGCCCATTCGTTGAGAGAGAAATGACTTCCCTTTCACTGCAGCTTGTCCCACTGGCTGGTGGATGGTCAATTCCCCTCTGTCCTGTAGGGTGTGGCTATGTGAGAGTGGGTATTGCACTCTTTGTGTCTTACAAGTCTGCTTTGGTAGGTCTAATGAGAGTTGTATTTCTTCTGAAGTTGCCCCTTGTTATTTCCACAATAAAGACCTTGATTGAGGCGTCTTTCTCACATTTGTTCCTGGGATCCATTTTCAGTGACTGTCGAAGACTTGCACTTTGGATTCTTCCTTGACTTTTGGAGTGGGTCCTGCACGAACGTCTGGATACACCTGCTTTCTATGCAGTGCTTTGAGCTTTTCTTTTACATTGTTTCGAGAGCTGTGTGCTGACTGCTAGTGTTGTCTTGGTTTGACGACTGAAGAACCTTTGTGCTGGAGATCCAATCCCTTAGTTTCTTTGCACGTTTCTTATGTTTAGTAATGCCTTATTTATGTTTGTTCTGTCTCTCTTACAATTTTTTATGATGTTCTTGGCCACTTGCACCACCCTTTTAGCTAGTCCATTTGGTTGTTGGTACTTGTGACTCAATGTTTGGTATTCAAATTCCTTTTTGAACTCTTAAAATTCCTTTGCTGAAAAGCAAGGTCCATTGTCCGACTCGAGTAGCGTTGGTACACCATGTGTTGTGAACCAGCACTTCTTTGTTTTGTGACGTTTGCTGATGTTCCACTTGTTAGCAATTTATCCCTTTGCGGTCAGATATGTTGACCAACTTAATGGTCATTCCGGTCAGGAATTATTTTGAATGCATGGGCCCCGGAAAAGTAAAATTATTTTGGCGTACAAAGGTAACGTCTCACGCTGAACGTAACGACAGGAAAGTCCGGGAGATTGTTTGTGTACGAACACCGGAACGATGTTTGTGGCAGAGCTGCTCTGCGGCCGCTGTCTTGCGCATTTGTTTCATATTCATCACTACTTTCACTCAAGTCACAGAGGTCACCTCTCCATCATCTGATGGAACGATATAGTCGTCCTCTTCACTGAAATCGTCGTCACTTTCAATTGCATCACGCAGAGAGTTGCATAAAACGAGTATGGCTGGAACGTGGCTACAACTGTCGTGCCAGTGAAGTTAAAATTTGCGCACTCCTCTGTTGCGCAAAAAAACATACGACATAGAACATCTCTTTTTTTTTTTTTGACTAGTCCTGCCCTTCATGAAAAGAAACTCGAACCCTTTCAATAGTGATGTGATCGAAGTGTTTTCCAAGAGCTGGCACCACCAATCCAGCAAAGAGGGCAAAGGAGCATGTTTAGAAGGACGCAGGAACGCGTTTCGGGCGTTGCCCGACTCTTGACCGGAAGCGTGTTTCTCCGATGTAGGGACTGGCCCGACACATGACCGCAAAGGGTTAAAGTCGATGTAGCCTGAGTAGGTGTCCACTATTGCCAGGTTTGTCTTTCTTGCGTGGTCGAAGAGATCCACTGCGACTATTTCTCACAGGAGACTTGGTACTTCATTTGGTAGCACTGGCTCCTTCGGTGCCTTCTTCTGGCTTGCTTGGCATATTGCTCAGCGTTCAACAAACTCTTTTATGTGCTGTGACATTGCAGGCCAGTAGACTGTTTCTTTGGCTCTCTCGATGCAACTTCCAATTCCACGGTGTCCCTCATGCATCTGCTAAAGCAGTCGTTTCCTCCAGGTTTTGGGAATGATTATGCAGTTGCCCTTGAAGAGGATGCCCTCATAGACAGCAAGTTTGTCCTGGAATGACCAGACGTTCTGCAATGGATAAAGTTTTGTTGTCATGTGACAACAAAACTTTTTTATAAGATTTTAGAGCCCTTCCACTTCTCGTGAAGATGGAGGACTAGCGAAGCTGTTATTTTTATGACGTCTAGGACGATGCCTAGAGGACAACGTCTAGGACGACTTCTAGGACGACCTTGAGGACGACTTCTAGGATGACCTAGAGGATGACGTCTGGGACGAATTCAAGGACGATGCCGAGAGATGATAACAAGGGATCAGGACCTCACTATCTAATAATGCCAAGGAAGGCTGACTCATGCTGGTTGCCCCCTTTTTTATTTTTATTTATTCATACTTGCCACAAACCAATGGGGAGTTTCCTGTCAACATCCGCGGAGGCATTTTTTTCTCAGATCCTAGTGCATAACAGCTTCGCTGTAAAACTAATGATAAGCACAGGGGCACCCACCACAAACATGACACGTGATACCACAGATCGCGGGGACACG